CCATAAGCAATTTCTAAATTTTGTGACAATAATTTGCTCCTGTTGTGACAATATAATTCCTATAGAGAAAGTAGAAAATAGAGAAGCATAGGAAATTTATAATGGTATCAAGTAATTTATAGGAGTATATATTTGATCTCCAGTAAACTGTGACAAGCCTTTGAAAAGACAGGTGTTTTTCTTGTCATGCGTTAATATGTGGCTTTAGATATGTAGATATGTTGCTAAATCAGAAGTTTACTGCTGTGGGGTTTTTTCCTTTTATGAGGATTTTACCATTGTGGAGGACTCCTTTCTTTTTGTCAATGACTCCAGCTTCTGTATTGTAGCACACCTCTCCAAGTACTTGCATCTTATTAACAAGAAAACGCCACACTAGGCCAAAAACTGGTGCGGCAAAGTGTTGAATACACAGCTCAGTTCTTTAAAGCAGAATTCACTCTTCTTAACTGGACATGAATTCTTGCGTTCTTATGGTGCCATCATGGTTTCATCCCTCTCATAGCATAAGTGCTATGCCTTTTTACTAACACAGTAGTGGGTTATACTGAGCTCACCCTTTTGTGCCCGAGCCCCTGAGCGCCTCGCTGACTTCATCTGGGAAGGGTCTAATGAGAAGCTGTGTGCAAAGGTTCATACAAATACCAGTAAAATTATAACCAGCAGAATTGTGACTGAAATGAATGTTGTGTGCGCTCAAAATGGTAGCAGAAGGGAAATATGAGTAAATCAAGTCTGTTTTCTCTGCTTCTTGGACATCAGATTATATTTGCCATTTAATTCAGCTGAGCAAGTTCACACAACTGAGTTGATAGTCACGCTTCAAGTATGCTTGTTTTTCTGCTAGCTTTGGTGAGTTATGTCACCAGCACAGCAAAAAGAGGTCTGCATTGAAGTCAAGAGCCACAGCATACAATGTTTTCAGGAATTTGTGATAGCAATTCAACCACATTTGTGTTCTTAATAAAGCCAACCTTTTTAGAAACAGACAGGAAGTTTATAAGCAACAGTAAGAGGAGATGCAAGGCTCCAGCCTTGTATTGCAGTACTTGCCATGTCCTTCAAAATGCGATGGCAGGGCAAAATAACTTAAGTAAATGAGACACAATGAATGAACTTTAACTTGTTTATTTCCTGTGGTGATCAGAGCTCTTTTTCCTGTACATACATGTGTTTTGGCCAAGGATGTGAGGGGACAGAACCTTCAGCCATACAGACATGTCTAGGTTCTTGTTCTATATTACCTGCATCATCAATTGGGGGGCAGAATTAAGGGATGCTTACTTTTGGAAAGAAGGGGGTATGACTTTAGTTGGAGGAAAAAAGGGGCTCAAGAGGGATCTGTGGGAATTTTACCCTTTTCTGGGGGACAGAATGGCAAATGGAGCAGTTTGTCCCATCTTGTTTTTCAATGTCCGAGATTGGGAGGGAACAAACATGCACGTGGAAGGGAGGGGGGCCATTTTGTTCTTTGTCCCAGAGGGACACATGGCACCAGACCAGGTCAGATGGCTCAGTGGGCATTTTTTGTATGTAAATCACTCCCTTTTTTACTTTCATTATTAATATTGACGCTGGTTTTTTATCTTATTGCTATTTGCAGTAAGTGATTGTTATCTCAGCTCTGGATCTCTGCCTTTTGTCTCTTCCACTCGACTGGGTAGGGGTAGCTAAGCAGTTCCATGGGACTTAATTTCCAGCTGGGCTTAAACCATGACAACTGTTTACATTTGTCTCCTAGACTCGATTCGAGGCAGTTGTAGCTGATTCTCTGCCCGCTTCTTGGCTGCATAGGAAACATTGCATAGAAATGAGCATTGGTATATCTGGCTTTCAGACCAAAAAAATAACCTATTGTTTAAAGCGAAGCTGTATGTTTGATTCCTTTGCATTTCAGCCACTTACTTCATTGCTGACAATGTATCAGTAAATACCAATCTTTTAACAGACAACTGTCAGTATTCTGTAGCTGGATGTCACTTGCAAAGTAGAAACTAAAAAGCTTTGGCTAAAGTGCTCTCTGTATTAGATTTAAAGCAGAAAAACTTTTGCAACAAGCATGATAACAGAAAGAAAACTAAATTTATTGCTTTATTTGTTGAATCTGAGCACCATGAAATATTTAATAATTTTAAAATCATATCCAGAATTAAACACTTGAACTACTGTTTTATGAGAATTTAAACCTCAATAACTACAATTGTGTATACGTTTTTACAGTGTTTTACAGTTGTCCAGCCACATGCACATATTCCTGGAGAGTCTAGCACATATTAACATTTTACATTTACTGAGGGCATTTTCAACAAATGTGCAGAAGACAATGACGATTTCAAACATTCTGCCTATTCAACATATTATCAATAAAAGGGTGTTTTTTGGAAAGCATTGTAGCAAATACACAGAAAATACAATACAAATACACAGACAAACAAAAGGCTCATCCTTAAACATTAATTTAATAGAAAGTCTATTTTTCCAGAGACATTTATGTCTTTAAACAAAACTAAACTCTCTTACAGGGTACTCCTTCTTTCCAGGACACTTCAAAGCAGGGGACTAACTTGGGCACACCGGGTGGTTTCCCTGAAAGTGTTTTATCCCTTCAACAGAGTGGAAGAGAAAGAGAAGGAAAATAGCCACTTGTAGGTTCATGTTGGTCTTCACTGTCCTTAAAGCTTCAAAAGATTTGCCTCTAAGACAAGACTAAGTAAGGTACTTTTATATGAAAGAAATAGTGAATAAATAAACTGGGAAAATATTTTCTGTTATGAATGTGATCAAAGAGATAACCAGAAAGACTGGTGAGACGAAAGGAGAAATTAAAACTTCTCTAGAGAAAGGATCCCTTCAGAGAAAAGAGCTTCAGAACACAAGCATGAAATTTCATAGATGCTTTCAAGCAGTATTTTTACCTAGCCACTGAGCAATTGATTTTGTCCAAAAATCTTCCTGGCACACAGAAGACAGTTAAGAAAGCCATATCAACAGTTCCATCTCTGCCTAAGATGATTCTCATCAGAGAGTTCAGAAATTTCAATTCATGGTTTCAAGCTCTTTTTAAAATATTTTCCCAAATGGTCCAGTTTCAATTTCCTAATCAAGCTTTTAATTTATAGACTGGGCTTTTTCATTTTAATGAATTTGACCTGTAAAGACAACAAACCAGGCAAATACTAGGGTGAATATTTTCAAATGGCTTGGGAGACTTCTTTTTCCTTATTTAACCGGTTTTCTATGCAAAGTTTTAAGTCAATATTTAGCCATAAATCAAATGTTCGATGGAACTATCAGCACAATACATCACTGAGTCCATCAGGAACTGATGAGATTTATTGAAAGGGTGACAGAATAAGTCCAAATTTATTTGCTGAGTTTTGGTGCCTAAACGTCATCGTTTTCTGATCTCAGATCTCCAGCAAAAAGAAACGTCTCTCCTAAGCTAAACTGGCAAAAAATGCAGGCTGCTAACAGTTTGAAAACTTTGTTGCTTCAAACAGAAACACCAAAAAAGTCTTCTCTAGATTAAAACAATCTTAAATATTGGTATTTGATTTGATGACATTTAATTAGTACAGTAAATGTATATATATACACATGTACTTTTGTCGCTAGGGAATAGAGTGCATCAGATTTGCCTTTTCAGTATTGTAATGTAATGCTGTCAAGTAGTCAAAAATACTTACATGACTATGTTATATAAAACTTTTAAAAGTTTTTTAAATACTGGGTAAATAACATGTTCAGGTAAGAAGATGGTTATGTGCATTCCTCCTGCTATTTCTTTATACAAACATTTATCACATGTCAGATAATTCATCAGCGAATAGATAAAATGGGCTTGAAATTCACTTGAAGAGTAATGGTTCTTTTTTTCTTTTTCTAAAGCCATTGACTCACTGACTTCAGCTACATGACCAAAGAGATTTGAGGGAGCCATGCATGGGAGAGAAGTGTTTACCTCCTTTACTATACATCAGAAGAGAAGATGTGATGACCGTTTCTTAAGAACTGAAGCATGTAAACGTGAAACATGTAAACATTAAACAGGGAATTTCAGCCAGTCAGCCAAGTTAGTTAGACAGTCAACTTAGGCTAAAAAGCCAGTTGTTGTCTCATTGACTTTTGGAACTGTATCATACCAAAAGCAGTTATAGAAAGGTTCCTAATCTATGCTATGAAAGTGGGCAATAATAGGTAATGTAGTTTTCATTCATTTGGTCAGCCTGGGTAAGATGTTCAGTGCTTATTAGGTTTCTGCATATCCATCAGTTCTCCTGCCCCCACATTTTTTTCTCTACTGTGTAATTTCAGTCAAACTCAACAGGTCTCAATGACAATTTTCTCTGAATACAGAAAAAAATCACTGATAGGTCAGACAGTAACACCCTTAGCTGAGGGTAAGTTGGGAGAAAATAAAATATTGCATTCTCAATTTTCACCTTACTTTCTGGCTAGCCAGACAAAACAAATATAGCATTGACAATTCACCCACATGGCAAGTTGCCTTGGTCATTTGCACTGTCAGAAAAGATAGGAGGTTGATAAGGGCGGAAATACTGTGACAGAAGAAGGGATAGAAGGGTAAAAGGGCACAAAATATGTGAGCATTTAATTCACTAATGTTTTTTACTATGTGTCTTGGGTACAGAGACAAGGGTGTTGAGGGTTTCTGTGCTGTCTGTTCAGGGGCCATTCATGTTACAGCTGTTGGTGTGGCTCTGGCAGGGAAAAACCCATGGCCACAACTAGAAAGGAGTCCATTTCTTCTGGCTCTGAAGTGGAGGGCAGACCGTGGCACCATACTACCAGCCTTTCCAGGACATGTCTGCAGAACCAGTAAGGAGAGACAGCAGGACCATTCCCAAGCCAAACAGTGCTGAAGTGACAGCTTCAGAACTGCAGCTGGGACCAGCAGAGCAAGGGGCACTGTTCTTCGGTGACCAGTGAGTCCATTTCCTTCCCCTCAGCGTCCTGGCAGCAGGTCCAACCCTGCAATGACACCAACTGAGCCCAGTGGGTGGCGGGAGGAGGCAGCAAGCAGCAGCACTGACCACACACACACACATATGCCTCCACAGTTGCTGAAAGGAAGAAGGACTGACACAAATAAGGACAGTTGAACGAGAACAGAACAGCACAACTATTCTATTTTGGTGAAATAGATGAAAGATGAAACTCAGGCAAATATGAGTCAGGCAAAATGCAAGCAGGATGCCAGTTTAGCTCCGTGAGCCTGACAAAGCAGAAGTTATGCAAAACAATGATATTGCACTTACTCGCAAGTGGGAGTCAAGGAACAGCCGCTTAAAAAGGACACCCAACATTGAAGACCCCAAAGAAGTGTGTAAGGATTTTGATAAGGGGTGAAATCTAAGGTAACCTTGCTGGGGTGAAAGTAATAAGATTGACCAATTTTTCTGCTAAGGATGTCTTCGCTTCCTCTCTCTTCAAAGAAATGAACAAAAACATATTTACAATAACATCAGGAAAAACAGTGCTTAAAAGCAAGAGGATTTTGAATCTGTGTGAATCTGTAAATTATAGCTATGAAACAATTACACCTACATGAACAGGCGTATTGTGTACATAATAAAGGGTTGCTATACCAGGTTCAAAGAAATGTGTATCTGAGCCAAACAACTTAATATCCAAACCATGATTGTAAAGTTCAGTTTTGGTAATAGCAAAGGAAAATATCTCTCATTAATTACAAAAACTGTAGTATGAATATTAGAATGATTAAAATCATTAACAAAAGGGAGTACTGCTCATTGTTAATGCAGCCATCATTGCTTTTCGTCAGAGTAATGGTGCATGCTTAACATAAAAAGAGAAGTACTGAGCACTATTCACATTAAAATTATGACTGTATTATTGAACTTAAGATAAATCAATATGTGCCATTGAAGTGATTTCCTCAATCTTCATAATCTCCTTGTAGAAGCAATTAGTTTTAAGTTCCTAGTTCATTAGACTGCTGCTGAAAGACCAAAATATATGTGAAATTTGTGTTTATGATTATACATGTGCAGGCAGAAGATGTAATTAGCTTGGTTTCAGATTTGGTTTAAGGAATTGGGAAAGGAAAGCTCTATCATGAAGACTTATATGCCCTACTGTGGAGTTGCCCTCCACATGAGATGACACTTGAAATATATTTAGCTCTGTGTCTGAAGAGTGTGTAGAGATCTTATAGGTTAGGATAAAAGGGGACTAGTAAAGGTGACACTGTTGTCAATGTGTGCTACAAGCTCCCTGATTAAGAGAAGGAAGTGGATGAGGCCTTCTACAGGCAGCTCAAAGCAGCCTCTAAGTCAGAAACATTGGTTCTAAACTACCCTTATATCAGCTGGAGTTAAGGGTGAACTGCAAAACACAAGCAATCCAGGAGGCTTCTGGAAAGCAGTAATGGCAACTTCCTGTTTCAGGTAGGGGAGAATCCCACCAGGAATTATGTGCTGCTTAACCTTACCCTAACAAGAGTGAAGGCCTTGTTGGAGAATCAGAGATTATCCTGAGTTGGAAGGAGCCCACAAAGATCACCAAGTTCCACTTGAAAGTAAATGGTCTGTACAGAGATTGAACACACAGCCCTGGTGTTATCAGCACTGTGCTCTAACCAATTGAACTCATCTCAGTGTTTAGTGAGGACTGGGGGCAGATACTGCTGATGGAAACCTGAGAATGTGGAGTTCAGTTTCAGATGAGAAGGAAGCAGGGCAGCAAGTAGGATTGTAACCATGGACTTCAGGAGAGCTAACCTCTTCAGTAATCTTCCTAGAAGAATCCTATGGGACAGAGTAACTTCCTGCAGGCTCAAGCATGATGTATCCCAATCAGACAAAGGGGCAAGAGGCCTGTGTGGATGAAATCAGAACTCATGCCATTACTCAAACACAAACAGAAAACCCAGAGAAGATGGAAGTAGGGCCAGATCACTTGGAATTAACATAGAGAGGTTGTCTGAGTAAGTAGAAAGGTCAAGGCCCACCTGAAATGAAATCTAGCCAAGGATATCCAGGCCAACAAGAAGTACTTTTGTACTGATCTACTTTTTCAAGTACATCAGTAATAAAAAGAAAACAAAGGTAAATGTGGACCCATTACTAGTGAAGGAAACCTGGTAAGAAAGGGTGCAGAGGAGGCAGACTTACTGAATTCTTTCTTTGCATCAATCTTCACTGACAAGATCATACCTCAGAAAATGTTAATCCAGTAGACCAGGGTAAAGGAAACTTGGAAGACAGACAGACTCTAACCCAATTCTTCTTAACTCCTGATGAAGGAGACTCAGGCTAGAGTCATCTAGGCAAACTTGATATCCATGAGTCCAAGGGCCCTGACAGAATGCATCCATGAGTGCTGAGAGAGCTGGTGGAAACCACAAAGCTGCACAAGCAAATTGGCTTTGTGGGCTTTATGTCGCTCATCTTTGAAAGGTCATGGAGTTCAGGAGAGGTGCCTGAGGATGGGAAGAAATTAAATGCCACTGGTCTTCAAAAAGGGCAAGAAGGACTGCACAGAGAACAACCAACCATCTCAGTTCCTGGAAAGGTGATGGAGAATCTCATTCTGGAGGCCATCTCTATCTATGTGGACAGGAGGTGATCAGGACCAGAATGGAGTCACAAAAGATAAATCATGCTTGACCAACCTCATAGCTTGCTATGATGAAACCACTACCTGCATGATAATGAAAGAGCAATTGTCCACCTTTAGAAAAGATATTGTCTACATTAGAAAGGCTTTCACACTGTCTCTCACAAAATCCTCATAGACAAATTTAGGGAGTGTGAATTGGATGAGTGGGCAGTGGATTGAGAACTGTCTGGATGTCAAATTCTATAGTGTCCAAATCATTGTCACAGGGTCTGTTTGGGAGCCTGTCACTAAAGGTGTCCCTCAAGGTTCAGTACTGGGCCCAGTGTTGTTATTCACTTCCATGAAGGGCAAGATGCCTTCTCAGCAAGTTCACTGATGACACAAAGCAGGGAGGAGTGGCTGATACAAGAGTGTTGTGCAGCCCTTCAGAAGGTCCTTGACAGACTGGAGAAATGGGCAGAGAAGAGCTCCTTGATGTTCTACAAAGGCAAATGCAGGGTCCTGTAGCTAGGGAAGGATAACCACAGGCACAAGCATCAACTGGGGGCTGGCCTGCTGGATATCAGCTCTGCAGAGAAAGATCTGGGGATCCTGGTGGACAACAAACTGTCCATGACAACTATCCATGTCCAGCAATGGGCCCCAAGAAGGCAATGATATCCTGAGGTACACTAGGAAGAGCAATGCCAGCAAGCTGAGGGAGGTGCTCCTGCCCCTCTAGTTAACCTAGTAGAAGGGTTTCTCCAGAGGCCGCATCTGGAATGCTGTGTCCAGTTCTGGGCTCTTCAGTACAAGAGAGACAAGGGAGCTCCTGGAGGTCTACAAAGGGAGGCTACAAAAGGCTACAAAGATGATTAAGGGACTGGATCATCTCTCTTATGAAGAAAGGTTGAGAAAGTTAGGCTTGTTCAGCCTCACGAAGAGACAGCTGAGACGGGATCTAATCAATGTAAGTACCTGAAGGGAGGGTGCCAAGAAGATGGAGCCATGCTCTGCTCAGTGATGCCAAAAAATAGGACAAGAGGCAATGGGCAGGAAATGATGCACAGGAAGTTCCATCTGAATATGAGGACAGACTTTTCCACCATGCAAGTGACTGTACACTGGAACAGATCGTTCAGAGACAGTGTGGAGTCTCTATCACTGGAGATATTCAAGAGCCTGCAGTACACAATTTTATGCAATGTCTTCTAGGATGACCTTGCTTAAACAGGGAGGTTGGAGAAGATAACTTCCTATGGCCCCTACCAACCTTGCTTACCCATTCTGTTATACTGTGATTCTGTGAAATGCTTCACATGATAAATACCTTGTAAACAGCTGGAATTAGCAAGGATAACTCTAGAAAAATTTTAGTAAGGGAACATAAACCCTCCTCTCGTGATACTGCTTTTTTTTAGAATTAACTCCTCCAATTAACCATGGGATTCTTCTTCAATGTTAACATTCTTCAAATTTTTTAAATTAAATATTTTGTTTAAATCACCTATACTGTGATGATGAAAGATAAAGAAGTTTGGTAGACTAATGTGTGTCAAATGGGAAGGTCCAGAACTGTAGAAAGAACATAGTTAAGTCAAAAAGAAAGAACACAGAAGTCTAAAATAAAAAAATGATTAGTAGACCTGCAATTCAACAAAGAAAAATGAAAGTACCAAACAAATAAGAACAAATAGGCTAATGAAGATTAGAAAGGGGGTAATAGCAAAACCAGAAAATTTATATAAAAGATTCATGAGAAAAATTCATATGAAACAGTAGCTAACACTTATTTGAAGGGCCACTTATATTTAAGTTTTTGGTCTAAAGTAGATAGCATGTACAGGTCCCTGAGGAGTCTATATTGTTCAGCTTAGACATAAGCCTTTTTTACATCAGACATGTAAGCAATTAAATTAAAATTTGGGTAGAAAAGAAGGCAGAAAACAAGACATGAATTTCAAAAAGCACTTTAGTAAGGGCTGAGTTTCAAGTCTGCTTATATTACCCTGATTTGAACTTCCTTGAAAAAAAAAAATTTCTCCATTTCAAAATCATAAACCTTCAAGTACAAATCATCCTTTTTGTAATGGTTGTTCAGATATTTTAGATGCAAGCATGAAAATTGCCTGTGAATATTCAGAATATTTTTACAGTCTTCAGCATACAAAAAAACTTGTGCAAAAATGTATTCCCAAAAGGTAAGCACTTTGAATATTATGGCTATAATTGCTGATTTTGTTATTCAGAGAATGAATGCTGTAGAAAATTAAGTTATTTTATGGCTGGAATAAGCATTGAAATAAAATGCAGCAAAATGCTTCCAAAAATCTTACGGGGGTGTGCTGGATTTAAATCCTATTTAGAACATTAAACCCACTCAAGCTGATCCCTTCTCGCCCCTGCACCTTCTGAAAATAGAAGAACACCAGGAGAGATTATAAATTGGAGTGTCAGTTTGCTTAAAATCGCAATAATCATAATCTTAATGATAAAGAGTGTACAAAAAAGAAAAGGTGTTTTACTGACAAAAAAAAAATCACCACCAAACAAACAAAAATGTTTCCCAAAGACAGCACATGACATGGTTTCCCAAACGAAGGCAAGCTGGGGGCTGGCCCTGCACTGGGGCCAATGGTACCAGAAAAAACAAAAGCAATGTGAACATCAAGGAGAGCTTCCACCGTTTAATGCCTCACAGTGTTTTTGCACTCACCCACCCCAGTGTAAAAACAACATCAAGCTAAGGCCAACAAAACCTCTTGGAACCTGGATCATCTGTGCTGCTCCCCCCGACCACTCTGTGTCACTGGATCAGCTCCATGTGGAGCCCTGCAGTATTAGTGATGCTCTTCTCAGCTCTCCTGGGGCCTGGGCCCCACACAGCTCCGCCCTCACACTGCTGCTGCCACTCTTGCTCCTTTTCCTTTTACTCAGAGTGGTATCTTGGGCTCACCATCATCTTTCAGCCCCAAACCTCAAAAACTGCAACTCAGAGGAACGGAAAAAGGAGCAGCTGGTGGTGGCAGTGGGACTAGCTCCATGAGGCTGACCTGGGACCTTCTTCCTGAAGAGAACCAGGCAAAAATGGCAAACTTTCTGTTTCCAGTTCCACCCCCGCTCCCTGCTGTGATGTTAATGGTGTTGAAAAAACAGCACTAAAAGCTTTACCACCTTGTCTCTGCACCCAGGAAACAGGGGTACTAAATAAGGTAGGATATACACCAAATATATAAGATATATATAAATTATGAAAGACAGTGATTAAAATTTTAAAAATATAGGGTGCAGGATATTGTACATAGCTTTATGTGCTACTGTGGCTATAGCTTTTAGTGGTAAATTTCAGAGTTTGAATTCCTTTAGGTTTCAGTCTGGTCAGAAATACTTCTTCATTTAGACCTGAAGCATGTCTTTTTCCCTCTAAATATTAAGCAGCTAGGTTCGCAGCGTAGCTTAAGAGATGCAGCAGGCAGGACTAATATTCCTGAAATCCCCATTTATGAGCCAAATTGCTTCCAGAGCCCTGATGCATGATCACTTAAGAAACATTTAATGTGGTGGATGCTCTTGTGCTCTGAGTGCATAGAAGTGGATGCTGCAATTCTGATGAGGTCACATGAAAATTGGCTGTGTGGGCTTTATGTCTCCATTAATGTACATTGAGATGGTTTGCTTAAATCAAATCTGAAACTGAATGATTTTGTCGTGGAGTGAGTTAGGACAGAGAAACGGAAACTGCTTGTTGTCTTACTTCTGCTGAACACGAATATTCCTGCTACAATTACTCTATGTATTTTCACTGTCTTCTGGCAGGAAAGCAATGAGTCTTATATCTGTCCTCCATAGAGGGACAAGGTTTCTTAACTTTCTTCTCTCTCATCATCTGTATTTCTGTATTCCAAGCACTGGCAAGTCCACACTGGAAAGGACCAAATCAAATGAGAATCAGCAACATGTAGATTTTGGCTCTAAATAACTGCTTGTCTTCATTTTGTTTTAGGAAAGCAAGACACATTTTTCCCTTAGAAGAATTTTCATGCTTCTATTGCAATGTAAAATAAAGCACACAGAGAACTAAGATCAAAGTAGACAAAATAAATTTACATAACATGAAATTAAGTACCTTTTTAACAATTAATGTTTGCCATCTTTAGTTTTGACATGTAATACCAATGGTACTAGAGGAATTAAGTTGGCATCAATGAGAGCTAGGGAACTGCATTTCACTACAAACTTACAGCTATGTTATTTGAAACTGGGTTAGGGAAGAAAGATCATAAACAACAGACCATGTTGATGGCTGGTACGAACCAGCTCTTTTGAACCCTCTTGAGTATGTAGATTTCAAGTTTTGGTGATTCTGCCACAATATTCCTAAACCACAATTTATATGTAGCTTCAGAAGCGAATATATTTGTTCAATGTGGCAAAAAAATTTCAAGAATTCATAATAATTTTCTTAGTATGTTGTTCTTCCTCTCTTATTTGTGCTTTTCTGATTGTTTTTGTTTTTCCTTTACTATATCTTCTTTTTCATTAAGTGATGCAAATAAAAATTACTTTCATTTTGTGATTGTTCACATGCCTACACCTATTCTTTCACATCCATTGTATAGTCTATTCCCTGATGGATTTTGTCCTGGTTTTAGCCAGGACAGTGTTAATTCTTGCAGTATCCAGGAAGAGCCATGGTTAGAATCCAGAGGTTATTCTACATCACCTCGTGTCATTGATGGGGGGTACAGAGAAGGGACTCTCTTCTGGGGAGAAGGAATTCCATTCTGGTCAAGTAAACATGGCAGAGGAAGTTGTCTGGTATGGTAACAGGTGCCATGTGATTTTTTTTCTTTCTTGTACCCTCTGTCATTAGTATTGCTGCTGTTACTGTTTGTTTTATTATCTCATTGGTGTTTCTAGTGAGGCGGAAGAGGGGCAGGAAAACAGGAGAGAGAGAGAGAAGAATATGGTCTGGGGGCACTGAACTGGGGAGAACCATTCCCTAAACCATGACACATTTCCTCTGTGATGCGAAGATAGAGCTTAGTTAAGATGTTTGGTGAAAGAGTTGAATATGGTCCCCAACTCTACAAGGAAGGTGATTTAGCTGCAAAATTTTATACTGCTGTCTAAGCACAGTAAACTCCTTTGAACTTCAAACTGGTGGAATTTTACATGCAGAGGTGTCAGTAACTTGGGTGCTTTGACAAGCCTCTGATTCTCTACACTTGATGTATAGAGCATTAATTATGTCATTTTTATTGCAAGGGAAAGCAAAGTCCTATGGACCTCAGAGAGATGTGTTCCTAGAATGGCTACCTCCTAATACTCCCAGAGAGACTCCAGAAATTCTCTGAAAGAGTATAAAATCCTAGAAGTAATGTCTCAGGTTCTCAGTCTTACTGGACTGCTAAGTGTCAGAACACAAGACTTCCAAGAAGATCTATTATGTCAGGAAAGTTTAAGGAATGACATGTTTATGGCAAGGATTCTATTTATTTTGACTGTGTAAAGAAGTGGCAAATTAATTTCAATCTTCTCAACCAGTGAATGAATTTTCTGTGTTGTCTTCTTTGACAGTGTCAGTTGTGAGAGAAGGAAACACCAGAAGTCTGAAACAGGAATAAGAAACAATTTATTAATAATATATGTATAAATAATAATGGTGTGTTTACACCCAGGTGTACACACATAGAAACACACAGAAACATATGCAAAAAAATAGTATATTCTTGTTTTGAATATATGGTCTACATGGGACAAATCGGTTATTTTTCCAAAGCTAGTCACTCCAACACTCAAGAGAGAAGACTTATAAGCAATGAAAAAATGTTGTAACCAGAGAAGTAAAAATGTTATACATATTAAAAGAAACAGAACTAGAAATGTGACATATATGATACATAGACAAATCAGAATGCAGTTAGTATTTTCAGTAGGTTTAATCATACAAGACCCCAAAGACAATAAAATAATGAATAAAATGCCACCAGACTTATTCATTGCACTGACTGAAATGCAAAGGGTGTTTTCTGTTGAAACAGTATCAGAGATTGAAGGAGGATAACTTTCATTTTGAAGGCCTCCTAGCCTGCATGCAGTTAGAACTTCCATTAGAGCTTAATCTCGACTATAATAGTATTAATTTCTTAATAAAGGGTGTGCAGTAGAATAGACAGTACACGTTTTTTCATTTGCAAAAGTTATTAAAAATAATATGTTACTATCACTAGGAGATAAATCAATTCTGCATCTTGCATTTAGGACTACTATTCACTCATATTTGGCTTTTCACGTTTTATTATATTATTTCTTATATATATTTTATTATTTCTTAATCCATTAGCTAATAGCTAATTATTTTAAAACATATGGTTCAAACAAGATTCCAGGAGGAAATCTTGCCTGATTTATAATCAATCTAATAAACTAAAAAATCTCGGAGCCAGGTCTTCAGGATGAGGTAGGTAAAAATCCCATGTCTGTTTAGGATAATGTGCTGTGTGACAGCAAATTTTATGATTTTTTGAGTCTTGGATTTTCAAAAGAAGCTCACTTCATAATAAACTATTATTATTAGTAATAGTTAATGATAACAATTTGAAGTTACAGCAGGAAAAGGAGACATGCATTTATGGCATATGAGACAGGTTTGAACCCATGCTGTCCCACAGAGCCATAACAATTTAGGTTTAGAATCTTTATCAGCGTAAAACTCAACTTTAGAGCCATTTTGAAGACTGGCCTCGCTGTCAGCTGATAACAATAATATCAGGCTTGCAATCCAGGTGCAAGTCACAGTAAGGAGTTTTCATAGCTCTTCTTATGGTAGATTGCTGTTGTTTCTTGTGTTTCTCTTGTGTTTTTCACTTGTCCAGTAGGAATATACTGGGAATTCACAAGAGCAAAATGAAATGTCTCATTGCATTTTTGTGTGCCTCTGCCTACAGCTCTGATCTGCCCATGTCACACGTTATTATTAATAATTTCTGTTTGAATCTATTTCTCTAGCATCCAAATTGGGTTAGATGCTACATGAAAGAGGAGAGGGGCATTGTTCCAGCCCTGCCTCCTTCTAAAAAGAAATAAAATTATCAAGTGATTCATGATAGAATCATCACTAAATGTGAACAGAGCAAGCAACAGTTGAGGTCATACAAAAAGAAGTTTTAAAATGTCTCTTTGGATATTTTTCTAGGAAATTTCCTCCTCTAATGTATAAATGCTGATAAAGTTAACATTTCTGAAGTTATCAAAGGAAATTGAAAAGACCATTTCAATGGTTCTTTTAAACTATACAAACTGCTCAGTTTTTGTAGAGAAAAACATATGTTCCCTGAGGCAATGTGGAATGAGTAGTTAAGAAGAAAATACACATTTTTTTTCATTGCAGAAAAAAAAATCATTCATGACCAATTATAAAAGACATTATGGATCTCTGAATTCAGACTAGCCCCTTTTTATTATAGCCAATGTCATGGTTTGACACTGGCACAATGCCAGTGCCCCCATGAGAATACCCTCTCCCTGATGTCCGCTGTGAAATGTGACCAGGAATAAGCAAAGCAGACTTCTACTTAGAAATAAAGAAAACTTTATTAACTAAACTACAAGGGAAAAAAAAAAAAAAAACACAAGAAAAATGAAAACCTTAAAAAAGCATTTTTCTCCTTCCCCCCCCACCAAATTTCCAAATGCAATGCATTCCCCCAAATCACCAACTCTCAGTCCAGCACCACCCTTTAGTATACTCAATCTTCAATTCATCAGAGGAGAGGAGTCCTTCTTGCACCATAGGCTTCCCCTGGAAACACGCTGAAACCTCGTGTGCTCCCATGTCACTCAGCACCCCCCGGAAAATCCTTTGCCATCGTGACATCTTCCTTCCGTGCCCAGTGCTCTCACCACTGTGCATGGACCAGAGCTGCTTTTAGGGTTGTCTTTTAAGGATGCCTTGTCTCACTCCAAAAGTCACAGTCTCTCCTTCGGGACATCTGTCCTCCCCAAAGTTTTTGCACCCCTGGGGCCGAGGTGTACCCACACTGAACCCTCCTGGCTCTGAGGCACTGCCTCCCCCTAAATGCAGTCTCTGCGTCACAGGAAAAAAAAAATGGTTCAGTCTATGGCCACACAAGAAAAGTCCAGCCAAAAGGCCACTCCATCATCTCTCCCCCCACTCAAGAGTCCTCTGCACTTCCCTTATGGCCCATTCCCTCTTATCTCATCTCTTATCTCTCTTCTCATTCAGCTCCAGGAGGATCAGCATTTGCAAGGTTTCTATCATGCAAGAAAAGGGTTAAAAATTTCAGTGTCTGCCTGTCCCAGAGCTCCAGAACTCCCACCCTGCCCTGCCGGGCACCTCCTCGCCGCACTCCCCCCTTCTCCTCCTGGGCCGGCCGCGATCAAGTCCAGACGCCAGCTCTCCCTCTCTCCCCTGGGTGGGGGATGGCTGCCCCATGTCTCTTGGTGCTCCTCCACCCTTCCATCCTCAAGGGCCTCCTCACCTCCCATCTCTGTCCAGGCCCAGGCCTATCGCAGGCTGCCCCTTGCCCGCCCAGCAGCAGCGGATGGACGGGGGAGGGAGATCCGACCTCTTTGCCTCCAAGTCCCGAGAAAGCTTCACAGCGCCGCAGCTCTGGTTTTAACCCCTGTGTGTTTTCAGAGGCGTGTCCGAACTTCAGTGGCTAAACCAAGTGCCAATATTAAAATCTGAACACCTATTGGTGGCCACAGCATGTCCCCCAAAAAAACAACCTACTTCCTGTCAATGTCCCAAACCACGACACCAAGAAAAAAAAAGACAAAAACATGAAACCCATCTTTTTTTAAAAAAGTCTTCCTTTTCTTTTATCAGTAAGTAATCAATTTTCTTCCCACCTTATAAGGATTCTGTTTGTATACTTGTTTATCTTAAGACCTCATATCAGTGATTAATGCTAGATCTTGCTATTGCAAGGAAATTGAAGTGAAATGCTCAGTCTTAAGTTACAGAATAAGTGTAACATAGTTACATTTTTCCTTTCACATTCTTCTCTGAGTAATATCTACCAAAAATCTACTGCTTAATCTTTTGTTACATAAGAAATTGTTAAATAAAATCATACCACAAACACACATATATGTTCATTTACACAAATTCGATTAAGACTGAAAATTCTCATATGATATGCTGAGTTTGCAGTACCAGGGGTCATTTAAATCAACTTTTCCACCAAACACAGGTACAGATCGGACTGCTGGTATAAATAAATTAGCTAAATTAAAATTAGCTAAATTAAAACTCTAGCTAAATGACTAGCTGTCTCATTCTCTACATACCTTGAAACTAGTAGACAGCTCCTGAGCACCCAATATAGTTTGCGCTAACTAACAGCTATCTCAAATAGATTACCTCCATTTGTTGTATGCTGAGTAGCAACTGGAGGAAAGTTCAGTGTCTGTGGGGTTTTTATCTTAAGATAAGATGGACAGACACTTAAGAATTACTTCTGTGAATATTATTTCAGGCTCTTATAGCCCTTTTCCAGAGCTGGAAAGGAAATTAAAAATCACTCTTTTTTCTAAAATAGAGAAGCTGCTTGTTCTTTTATGAGACTCCCATTTGAAGCAGTTCCCACTTGAATTAGCAGCATAAATAAGTACAGAAACAGCAAATTTCTTTATTTTCAAATTTAAAACTGGAAAATAACAGATTATCTCTGAGACACTTCACTTGTGAGTTTTAAATACAACACATGCAAAATTTAAGTTTTAAAGATTAACTAGTGCAGCAATTATATTTGAATATGTTAATTATGAGAAATCTGTGAGGCAAAAATATTCCATTTCATCATGAAGAAGATGCACAATTTTATCTCACTGATACACTGCAATTATGATCTTCATAATTTCATATTTGTATTATGTTTGAAATATAGCACTATCATTTATTGTACTACACAAAGCAAGAGGGCTGGGTCTCTGTGAAATGGATAAAAGAGTCCTAGTAGCAGTCTAGAAACAAAAGACCAGAGAACTGCACCAGCTACTATGTAAAAAGAGAATGAATGTATTATTTCATTCAGTAGTTTTAGAAATATTTTATTGGAAAATAAGATAGGAGCAAGTAAGCGCCAGAGGCCTGACTGTTTGTAAATCACCCAAGCTAAGGAGGGAAGACCATTCCTACACCTGGGAGATGATAGAGAAAAGAATGCCACCTTGAAAACAACACCATTTGAAATATCTTCCAAATTTCAAATATAATGGAGTATAGTATTTTTCTCAGAAACTGACTTCATAGCACAGAGATTTTGGTAGGAAAACTGGAATGAATTTTTTTTTTCTGGTAAAGTCAATCTTGAATTTGAGTTGGCATAAACTTGTCAGAGAAGCTACTGGTGGCAAAATACCTGAACTTTGTCTCATCCTTTCCACAAGCAGCTGTTGAGATCAGTGGACAGGAAAAAGACATTCAAATTTACTCTTTTCCCACATCTCCACCTAGCACAGCTGCAGGCTATTAGTGTGTTCCCAGAAGCAGGAGAAGGTGCAGCAAGGAATAGCCTTTGCACTCCATAATGGGTTTTTTTGATTGGTGGGCTTTTTTGGTGTTTTTTTTAGGAGCATGTAG